ATAGACCTTTTCTGGTTTCTGGAACAGTTGGTGTAAGTTTAGAATTAATTGTCAAGTCTGGGACAATCAGATAGATGCACCTGTAAAACCGTATGAGCCTGGTGGCTTTTTTGGGCGGTAGATTTTTGTTGATTAAACTTCTTTAGTTGTAAGTCTCTTCAGGTTTTCTATTCTTGAGTTTATTGTGGTAAATTATATTTTTAGGAGCTTGTCCATTCTTTAGCTTTTCCTGTATACTGGCATATTTACATTAATGGTATTTTTATTCTTTTTAGCTGTATCTGTCTTACATTATTTATGTTTAATTTTTTAAATATTCTTTTCAGAGATTTTTTTTCCTATTGTTGGATTTCTTCCTCCCCCTCCCCCAGCTTTAAATTAGAGTTCTATGGTTCTCCTTTATTTTTGCTTTGGTTTCATTTTTTCTGCTGCAATCTTATTTTATTTCTTCTACTTTCGGGGACTTACTGTTACACATTTTTAACATATTGGAATTTCCAAATGTGGGTAAGTTGTGGGTTTTTTTGGTTGGGATTATCTGTTTTGCTTCTAAAATTTATGTCAGAAAATGCGAGCTGCATGATACTGACTCTTTGGCATATTGTTACTTTTTGTCTTTGTTCAGTGTGTACTCTGTCATTATTTGGCTGTTTTCTGTATTCTGTATATTTAATCTCTTTTTACTAACTTGTCTGCTCTAACAATTACTAAGAGAAATGTGTTAAATTCTCATTTTAATTAGGAACCTGTCTTTGTAATTCTGACAACTTTTAATATATAAAGTTGTGATTTTAGTTTAATATTGTTACAGCTTTAAGGAAAAAATTTCTTACTCAGTATGTAGTGATCATTTTATCTCCAACAATGGTTTTTGCCTTAAAGCCCATTTGTCTTCTGGTAATATAGTGATACCAGTTTTCATTTAGTTTGCTTTTATTACTTTGAACTTTCCTGTGCTCCTACGTTTTAAAGTTATTTCTTGTAAAACATGTGTGACTGGATGTAAATTTTTTAAATCTGAGCTGCTATTTTGTGTTGTCATTGATGAATCTACATTTTTTTATTGCTTGATAAAAATGTATATTTCTGCCATCTTATTTTGTGCTTTAATTAATCTAGATCTAACTAACGCTTTCCCACCTTTCTGTCTTATTTGAAGTTCTTTATCCTGTTCAGTGAGTTAGCGGTTATGTGTTATGTACATTGATTATCATCTACTTTATAATATGTACTAGAGGCCCGGTGCACAAAAATTTGTGCACTCGGGGGGGGCGGGGGG